ATAAATTACCTCGTTATTGAACCTAAGTTAAATTATGATAAAAATTAAATTAAAAAATTACACAAAAAATGAGGAATTTTAAATAGTTTATTTTGATAATAATATCGATATATTTTTGTCAAATTTTTATGATATCTTCAAATTTATATTTTATTCAGAAATAAAAATATCATCGTTTTTTTCAAAAGCACATAAGGCCATATTATAACATCGACTGAAATAAAGAATAAAATAAAATACTAAAATCAAGATGTATCTCGCTGCATTGCGCGAGTACCCTTCTAGTGTTTTTTTATGAAAATCTTTATTAACTTATCTCGTGTCAAACTGAAATTTTATAAAAAGTATTTGAATTAGCTTATAACGATATCAAAAACGTAATAAGTTGATAAGTTATTTTTTAGTGTTTAGTAAATTTTGTTAATTCATGTAAAATGACCAAAAGAATATTGTAAGTGTTATTAGTTACATAATGCGACTCAAATATCAATCTCTATATGCTTTGTGCGTTGGTGCTGAACCGGATTGGACGACATGTATACCGCACTGACATTATCACAGTAGACAATTGTGGCTTTCGTGGGCGGTCGGTGGAGCTCGCGAAGTAAGTTACAAATCCAACTTGTTTCAGCAACGGTGTTCGCGACTCCACGATATTCGGTTTCAGCACTAGAACGGGAGATAACATCTTGACGTTTGGATGACTAAAACACAAGATTATCTCCCAAGATAACGCAATATCCGGACGTGGATTGTTGAGTTGTCGGACATCCCCCCCAATCTGCATCAGAGTAAGCTGTAAGTTCGGATGAGGGGGATATATGAATCTGAAGGCCATGGTTTAGAGTGCCTCGAATGTATCGAAGTATGCGTTTGAGAGCATGAAAATGTGGCTCTCTAGGATCATGCATATAGAGACAGATTTGCTTAACGGCAAACGCTATATCCGGGCGTATGAAGGTGAGATACTGAAGAGCTCCGGCAAGGCTGCGGTACAGGGTGGGGTCACGAACGGGTGGGCCATCAGCGTTAAGCTTATGACCCGTTTCGGTCGGAGTGTGCATTGGATTACAGTTAACCATGTTTGCGCGTTCAAGAATATGAGAGGTATACTGCTGAGATAGAAATAGACCTGGAGATGATCGCGAAGCAGAAATTCCCAAAAAAAATTGAGTGCCCCGAGATCCATCATAGCGAACTCACGACCAAGTAGGGTGATGATCTGGTGAAGAAACTATGTGGATGAGGCCGTCAAAATGATATCGTCAACATATAGAAGAAAATAGGCAATGGCCTGAGGAGAGTGGTATATAAACAGTGACGTATCAGTGCGACTGTGCTGAAACCCGAGACGAAGGGCATACTGAGCAAACTGATGGTACCACGCACGTGGGCCCTGTTTAAGGCCGTACAGAGAGCGCTGAAGATGGCACACGTGATCCGGGAAGTATGGATCTCGGAAGCCCGGTGGCTGATGCATGTATACAGTCTCCTGAAGGTGACCGTGAAGAAACGCATTCTTCACGTCTAGTTGATGGATCGACCAGTGCTGAGAGACCGCAATACTGAGGACAGTACGAATGGTGGCCGGTTTTACAACCGGACTAAAAGTTTCGTCACAGTCTATCCCCTGCTGCTGACTGCGGCCATTAGCCACCAAACGGGCCTTGTAACGAGAAAGTGAGCCATCTGCATTAAACTTGTGACGAAAAAGCCACATGGACCGAACCACGTTGACCCCGGGGGGTCGAAGGACAAGTTTCCAAGTCTTGTTCCCGAGAAGAGCATAATATTCCTTGTCCATGGCCTTTCGCCAATGAAGATCCTGTAATGCCAATAAATGGGACCAGAGTAACAGGGTGATGGGGTGGTATTAAGATTGAGTCGCTGAGTGGGTTTAATGATACCACTTTTAGCTCGGGTCGTCATGGGGTGAGACGAGCGAGTAGTGGATGGAATCGCACTCGACGGAGGAGAGGGAGGGGGTAAGTGGCACCGTCCGTGTGGGTCGAGGCGTGAGGTGGGGAGTGAGGGGCGGTCGTAGGTGGATAGGCGGGGCGTGATGGGTTGTCGAACTGGTCGGAGTAGGTTCGACCGTAGGAGGGGTTGGTGGGGCGGGATGCGGATCGAGAATGTCACGCATAATGGGAGAGGGCTCAAATGGGTCGTCGAGAAAAGAGTAAG